GGAGCTCTCATTCTGAACTCTCTTGCTCACTTCTTTTTGGGGGAAATTTTGCTTTGCTTTGCCTCCTTCGTGGCTCCGTAGAGCTATGAGGCAAGGTTAGCGTGATTCCCAGGTCCTTACAGTTCTTCCTGGTAAGGACCATAATAGATATAGGGCATGGAGTAATTGAGTATCGGCAGTTCTCTGATGACGCGGGTGGCGCTATGGGTAAAACCTCAGCGCCTAGGACTTGCCGATCGCATGGTTGGCAGTTCGAATCCCCGCGGCGGGGTGAGCTTCCGTCGTTCGGTCCCAGCTCCTGCCCACCTAGCAGTTCGAAAGCACCCTTAAGTGCAAGTAGATAAATAGGTACCGCTTTATAGCAGGAAGGTAAACAGCGTTCCGTGTGCTGCTCTGGTGCCGGTTCGTCAGAGCAGCTTCGTCATGCTGGCCACGTGACCCAGAAGTGTCTGTGGACAGCGCTGGCTCCCGGCCTCTAGAGTGAGATGAGCGCACAACCCTAGAGTCTGTCAAGCCTGGCCCGTACGGGCAGGGGTACCTTTACCTTTACCTAGTTCTCTGATGACCCTCTGCTCCGGGGGAGTTTAACCTTGCCTTGGCTAATGCCAGAGTCCCGGTGCTAACACTTAAAGATACTCACTAGCGAAGGCAGGAATTTACGGTAGTTGCCACTGAAGTTTACTGATATCTCTGACAGACGATAAGATAATAGCTAATGCCAGATAAAAATTATTGAGCCAAACTTGCTTTCAGTTCCTCAGGTAATCAGCTGGTTCTAGTTTCTAATTGCGACAGAGGACTCGGCGTCTTTGCATAGAGAGTGTTTTAGTCTCGTTTGCTAATAAGCCCCTTTGCAATATTTATTATTGGAAGCAGGTTGTTGAGCCTCTCTCAAAATGAAGTTGTGAGCCTTGTGAGGCTATAGAAACTCATTAAAAGTGCCTCTCATTTTGGGGGAGGGGTTGGAAGAGAGTTCAGCTTTTCCTTTCCTGCAACTTCCTGCAGCCTCATGATGGAGGTTGTTAGTCCGATAAAATAGCAGGGTAGAACATAAATCGCAGCTTTGAGAAGAGCTCTAATAAAGCATTGAAAGGTAGAATGGGGAGGCAGATAAACTGGTGCCAAGAAATAGGCAACAATTTTTTACTTTTTGAATGTTGTCTAGATTTCTACAACTGATTTAGGGTATTTTTGCACTGCTGAATCAGGAAATGGCATCCGTTTCTCTCCATCAGGTCAGGTTTACTGTAAACTGAATGGTGGGCATTGATAAAGGTAAGTACACGTAAATTGCATGTTGCTTCACCATTTTTCAAAGTTCAGGGCTTGAACTTCCATTTCTTGGAACTCCTGGAATGCTCAGCGGCAGGGAGGTCTCTCTTCAGAGTCCAACAGTAGTCAGCCATCATGACTGTGTCCCAGCGACCTTGATACCTGGTCTCCATCTCTTTCATGACCTGATGGAATCTCTCCCCCAGCTCGTCACTCATTGAACCCAGTTTCTCAGGCAACCAGTCCATATGTGAAAATAGGTAGTGCATCTTGACGCTCATGTTGCAGCCCAGGTTTCTGAAAGCAGTCAGCATGTTGTTGACAAGTTCTGCGTCGTTTCTGACCTTATTGTTGCCAAGAAAGTTCTTCACTACCAGAACAAATGCCTTCCACGCTTCCAGTTCCACTTCGTTCATTGAGTTTCCGAACTCTGGATGTCTGATGAGCTGACGGATCTGAGGACCGTCAAAGATGCCAGCTTTCAACTTCTTCATGGTCTATCCTGGAAAAGCCTGGCACAAGTAAGTGAAGCAGTCACCATCCTTGTCCAGAGCCTTGGTGAACTGCTTGATTAAGCTGAGCTTGATGTGCAGAGGTGGGAAGAGTATTCTGTCTCTGTCCACCAGAGGGTCGTTGATGACGTTCCTTTTTTTGCAAGGCACCAATTCCTTCCGCACAGGCCAGTCCTTCTTCGTGTAATGCTGAGCACGGTCCCTACTATCCCACATGCACAAAAAACATGGGTACTTGGTGAAGCCAGACTGTTGTCCCAACAAAAAGTTCACCATCTTCAGGTCAACACATAGTTCATAGTTCTCCTTCAGTGTACTCGAGTGAGCCAGGGGTATAGAGGCAAACTGGTTGCCATTGTGTAGCAGAACACATTTCAGTGATCGCTTGCTGCTGTCAATGAACAGTCTCCAATCTTTGGGTTCGTACTGTGGCACTCCAAGCTTGAGCAGAAGCTGCGCAATATCTGCACAGTACACCAAGTCCTTCTCTTCTGAGAAAAAACGGAGGTACTCTTGATGCCTGTTGCGGAAGAAGCTGATGCGAGCACTGTCAGAGAGGAGGTTTTTCCCCTTCAATCTGGATGCCAACAGTTCGGCAGAGTCCTTTGACAAGCTGAGGTCACAAACTAGATCATTCAACTCTTTGGGAAAATGGATGTGGAGCATAATCTTCAAGAACCACTTCTTCTTCTTCATGTCCTTCAACACTGGAGGCATCTTTGTCACTAATGTCCAGAAGTTCTCTGAAGATAGGCACTGGAATTTCATCACAATGAGCTACAGGACGACGTGCTGATTGAAGATCAGGATACTTCGTGGGGCGGCTGCCCCATTAACTTAGTTTTGATCCCCCAACTTTATGCTTTGCCGCACCAATTTATGGAAGATTTCGAGGTTTTATGACTTCAAACTGATCCCTTTTCGACATAATCACACAGAACTATCGGACCTGAATTCTTCTTGTCATTAAAATAATCATTTCCAATCAAAACAATTATTCGACATGGGATTTTACCCCCACCAACTTCTTCTAAACTGCTCCACACAAGCGTACATGTGAACAAAAATGTAAAAAAAGACATGTGGCCATAGCTCAAAAACTTGACCTGATTGAGCAAAAACAATGTGATTTTTGGATTCAGCGCATCAGATTCATCCTAAATCAACTGAAAAAACGCAGACAACAAATTTGTTGTTGATTATAATTTACACTCAGAAAAATTCATTTCTGAAGGATACCATGCAGAAATGCAAAGGGCTACCAATGCAGGCACTGAAGAAAATGAATATCACACTGGAGCCAGGAACAGAACACCCTTTTCTTGTGATAACCTGAAGAGTTTGAGAAGAAGAAGAAAGGCAGGACGCGCTGGACAACCCTGGGAGATTCGACAGCATGCTCTACGTGCTGGGCCATGCCAAATTCACCTCAGGAAGATATTGGTGGGAGGTGGTGGTGAAAGAGGAGAAGGAGGAAAGGGAATGGGCCACCTGGGCCGTAGGGGTTGCAAAAGAGTCTGTGAGGTGCAAAGGTTTTGTCAGCATGCTTCCTTCTGAGGGGATCTGGGCCATTGGGAAGGCAAAGGATGAGTCAGCCTCATCTGATCCCTTCTGGGCTTCAACCCACCCTGAGCGGACCCCTTTGAGCTTGACTTATGAGCCCAGGAAGATCTGGGTGTCCCTAGACTATGTTGAGGGTCGTGTGGAATTCTGTGATGCCCACACTAAGAGTTTGATCTTCAATTTCCAACAAGCCTCATTCTCTGGGGAGAAGGTCCAGCCCTTTTTCCATGTTTGGTGGGGAGTTGGTCTGAAGTGTTGAGTCCTGAGGACGATCCTCACCGCTCCCAGCTCTTCCACCCCCAACCCAGATTGAGAGGAGGTGGCAGCGTAGCATTTTCTCCGCAGTGTTATGAGTTTGTGGGTGCCAGACATCCTAAATTTCTGGATCCAGTAAATGTTAGAATTAAATCTGCGTGTGGTGTGTTAGAACTGGATGCCAGACAGTAGGTTTAGCAAGAATTAAAATACAAGACAGGCCAGCTTCCCCATGTCAGGAAAGTGCCTGGGAGACGAGCCATGGCTCCCACACCATTACTTTGTACAACTTTATTTTGTGCAACTGAAAAACTTTAATATGTTAATAATAAAAGAACTACATGGTGGAAGGAAGAAAAGAAGGAAGGAATGGGCCATTAAGAAAAGTCAAGGAGAATGGGATTCTGGACCAGATAACTGTTGGGTGGGGCCCTTCCTGCAGTTTGAAACAAAGCAGAGTTTGAAAGGAGAGTCTTTACAATTGCTGACCTGGGGGAAGAAGTTGCAGTCTGGTAAAGGTGGCAAGCTGGGGAGAGGGTCAGAGCACGATGGTTGATGTCATTTTGAATCCTAAACGGCAGCTATGGAAGAGTTTGTTTTTTGAAAAATAAAGAAACAAAAAACCCTAAAAAAAAAAAAGAAGAGGAAGAGGGGGAAACAACCAGGTGTACAATGGAAATTGAATAATATTGTATAAAAATGATAATATGAGAGCATTTAGTTAGAAGACTTTGAAATTCAGGTAAAATAATGTAAGCAGAATTAGTAAATACGTAAAGAACCAGAAGGGGACATTGAGGGGAGTCTTTGGGTGGGGGGAGAACTGGATTTTATTTCATCCTTTTTTCTTCTTATGTTTAAGATGATTATGCTGATTTTAACATTGTATAAATGTAAAACCCAATTAAAAAAATTTAAAGAGGAAGAGGAGGAATACTCAACTTTATGATCAGTGAAAATATTTGCTACTGCAAAGGTAGCATTTCTGTTTTTAAAATATATACATGGGGGTTTTTTGCAAAGAGAAGCATTTTCTGCGTGCACACAGTAGAGAATCAACCAGGCTGGCAAGCAAGGGGCAGTATCTCGAGGTTGCTTGCTTGCTTCTCCAGCCTTAAGGAATGAAATCTTGCCCTTCTGCAAATCCCTGCTGGCTTTTCCACCTTTATGGCCATGAAAGGAATCAGTCCCGTCAGATCAGTCAGGAGCTGCTAGGAAGCAAGCTGTGTGCTGCCTCTCTGATCAGAGCCTCACCATCACCCAGGGAATGAACAACACAACGAAGCCCCTCGGCCAGTGACTCCTGCTGCACAGGCCTTCAATAAAATGCCATGAGTCTTGCCAAAACAAAAAAACCAGAGCCCGGCTCAGGAGGAGCCCAAGAACCTGCTTTACGACATGAATGACTGCTACTCCAAGCTGCGCGAGCTGGTGCCGAGGATCCCACAAGGCACCAAAGTCAGCCAAGTGGAAATCTTGCAGCATGTCATCGACTATATCTTTGACCTGCAGATCGTGCTAGAAGAACAGGCGAAGAAGGGGCAAGATCCATCCTCAGCCGAGACTTCCCTACTCTCTTTAAAAGCTGCAGAACGGGCATCCAAACTGTGAAATTGCACACTTCCAACATTCCAACAACTTGTGAGAATGTGGACTGATCTGTCGTTTGCTCAGAAAAAAGGGCAACAAAAAATACCTTTGCAGATATGCAGATTGTATGTATATTTTGGATTATAGTTTTTTAAACATCATTTTCTTGGGGGGAAGGGGACTTTCAAGAACATGAAAACTGATGTGAAGTAGCTTAAAAGCCAGCTTCTTCCCGCTGCTCTCATTGACCGTGTTCAGTGTGATGAGTGTGGTTGCTTGAATCCCCTAGTCCACCTGTCAGTGACCATGTATTTTAGAATATTTTAGTACAATTGTTTTTGGCTTTGTTTTTACTTTTACTATTTTGTTAGGCTATTGTATAGTTTGTATTTTGCTTTTTAAGGGGAAAGGGTCAGGGCTGCCTGGGAATGGGCCTCAGCCAACAGAATGGCTGGGGCAGGTTCCACAGGGGCAGAAGCACCGGGACACCCGATCTCAGTGATCACGGGCAGGAGGAAGAGCTACACTAAGACCAGACCATCTCATTACCGAGGAGGTAGGTTTAGTCGTTGTCTGAGGACTATCCCTGCCTCCGGGTCTGGTCTTGACCAGAAGGATATTGGAATCAGCAAGGGAAACCCACATGACCTGAAAGTGTTGCTGTGCAATGCCAGGTCAATGATGAATAAGACCACTGCCATTCACGACCTGATTGTGGATGGAGGACTTGACCTGGCATGTGTAACAGAGACTTGGTTGGATGAAGCCGATGGGCCTGTCTTAGCTGCTGCTTGTCCACCAGGTTTCTCTTAAGCACAGCAACCCAGGTCATGTGGGCGGGGAGGGGGGGTTGCAGTGATTTTTAGGAAGTCATTAGTTTGCACCAGGCGTCCTATTGGGAAGACCCAGTTCTCTGAGTGCATGTTCTGGAAGCTGGGCAATAGGGGCAGTACAGGATTCCTTTTGGTGTACCGACCTCCCCGTTGTGCCAAGGATTCCCTGCCCGAGCTGCTTCAGGTCGTGGCAGATGTTCTCCTGGAGACACCTAGCTTGGTTGTCCTAGGGGATTTTAACATCCATGCCAACACGACCTTACAAGGGGCCGCTTGGGACTTCGTGGAAAGCATGGCTTCCATGCGGCTGTCCCTGAATAAGTTTGGCCCAACTCATAACCGCGGACATGCCTTAGACCTGGTGTTGACCTCTATGGATGTTGGTGATCTGACATTAAGTAAAAGTGAAACAAAAGAAGTGCCATGGTCAGATCACTTCCGGGTGCAACTGGACTTCTCCATGACCCTTCCCCTCTGCAGGGAGGTGGGACCGATTCGGATGGTCCGCCCCTGCCACTTAATGGATCCAAGTGGTTTCCAGAGTGTGGTAGGGGATGTTTTATCCCATGTTGATGGCCTTTCAGCTGATTCCCTAGTTGGAATACGGAATTAACCAGGGCTATTGACTGTCTGGTTCCAAAGCGTCCTCTCTTATTGCATGGAGCCCGGACAGCCCCGTGGTTTTCCCTGGAGCTGAGGGTGATGAAACAATTGCTGAGCTGGCTAGAGTGCCGGTGGCGGAAAACTCACTCTGAATTGGACCGGACACGGGTTACAGCTCAACGTTGAGCCTACCAAGTGGTGACGGCGAAGAGAACTTTCTTCAGCGCCTCTATTGCATCTGCAGAAAACAGCAGCAGGAGACTCTTTCAGGTGGTTCGCAATCTATCGGAACCACCCTTGTCATCGGGGCCAGGTAGGGACCCCAAGATCGCCTTCACCATGATGAACTGGAGTGAAGAAGAGAACAGCACATCTTCCTGTGCCAAAATGAACCCTTAGCAATTTAGAATATTTGTTAGGAAAGCAGCAGCAGAGATAACCTCCCCTCCTCCCCTTATCATGACTTATTTGCTTCCATTTTAAGGGGGAAAGAGAAGCATGCATGTGTGAAAGCAATGTTGTCCAATGAAATTTGATACTGTGTCACACCAGGCCCACAGACTATTGAAGAAAAAATCAATGGTGCATTCCGGGCTATTAGCCCGTGTGTAGTTCAGATTCTGCAGTTTGATTGCACCCAAATGGCAGAACATTCAGAGTGCTCCTTGCAAGCATGTCTTAAACTTTAATACCATGGGGCTCCAACCATTTGTGCCATATGACCAAGTAAGGCATCTTTCCAACTGCAGCAGCCCCATTTCCTTTGTCAAAGATGGAAAAAACACAGTTCCATAGCACAAGAAGTAACATAGTATGAAAGAAACATTGGGGGGGGGACAGAAGCCCTAACAGAATAATCAGGAAAACCAAAACAATAATCACCACATCTAAATACAGCCTATGGCGCAAAACCAATTATAGCCCCTTGATATTTGCAGAATCTACTGATCCCAGAAGAGCTAAATCTCTGCTGAGGACTCGTTGCCTCTGTTGGTCGGAATCACTGACTGCATGTACAAGGCAGGGCACACTGACCAGACCTCCTGGACACCCAGGGCTTCAGCCCCCTCACTATTTCTAGACAGGGTGCTCAGTTCCCCCAATATTGAGGGGCCTGGCATCCCCCACTGCCGGGCTCTTGCTATGGGGCAGCAAATGACTGTCACCAGCAGCCGCAGGAAGCCCAGGGCCCTGTTACCAGCGAGGGACATGCGACAAATATGGATGGCCACGCCTGGCAGGTGAGGCGAAGATGGATGAGAGCGAAGGGGAAACATTTGATTTTTGCATACTGCAGGACCTAATAACAGGTTTCAAAACAAATAAACAGTTTTTAACCAAGAGGAAGGAACCAGAATGATTGGCAATTAGAGCAAAATCTTTTGTTTTATCATCACATCTTAAGCCAGCCTATGGGACAAAACAATAAATTTGGTGCAGGGCACAAGTAGCCGAGTGGGACGTATGGCAGATGTGGATGAATACATTTAGGTCACATCGAGGAATTTGACCACATAGTGCCAAGGAAATGGGACTGGCTAGTGAGGCAAAATGGAGGGGAAATTGGAATGTTAATACCCCCCCCCCCCAATTTGGGACAAACTGGTGGAGGCGATAGCAATGGGACAACTACAAGAATTCTTGGGGAAAAGGAGTTTGCAGAACAATTAAGGAAAGAGTTCAATGTAAAATATTTAGGACCAGGAAACAACTATCTTGGTCTAGAGATCCAGTGATGGAAGATTTTTGTTAAGTGAAAGAAAGACAGTAATTGAGCTGCTTGAATGGAACAAGCACAACCGGTTATAAAGTTGGGAACTGTGTTGCATGATGTGTGGATACTTTTGAATATGGAATTATTAGAGGCCACTCAAAACAGAGAATAATTAGAGAGTGGGATGGAGTGAAGGAATACATGAAAAAATATGCTAACGACATAAGCACAGGGCAGGGCAGCCATCTCTGTCTCTTTCTCCACATGCATCGAAGAAGCAACATCTGCTTAGCCAAAGATGCCCTCTTGGCTTCCAGCCAAGACAAAAGGACTGTCTTCTTATGGAATAGTTTCCAAGTAGATGTTACTTTTTTAACCTAAGTCTGCCTTCTGGGATCCGATTGTAAACAGAATGTGTGAGTAAACCTTTTTATACTTTTATAGAAGACTGTGTCGTGTCTTATCTTTTATGAGGGAAAAAGGGGGAAATACCAGAACAGTTAATATAGAAGCTTTAGTGAGCCTGAGCAAAAACATCCGCTGCAAGTTTAAAAAAAGGGGAATGTTACTCTGCTAAATAGTGGAACTTGTTAACACAAGTTGGAAAAGGATATAATCAGACAATATATCCTCTCCTGCATTCCTGAACATTCCCCCCAAAAAATTACTGGAAGCTAAAACCCCTTGGTGCATTTTGCCCATCGAAGCTTTTGCTGTTAAGAAGGAAAATATGATGGGAAATTGGGAAACATATAAAATGTTATTAGAGGGGGAAATAATATATTGAGATGAAAAGACTTTGAAATCTATAAATATTTGACAGACTGGCTCCAATACTTCCAACTGAATGAAAAACAAGACAAAATAGGGTTTCCTGGAAAAATATCAAAATGACTGGGAAAGGCTGTGGAGGGAACTGCATGTTATAAGGGGGCAGTGAAGAAGGAGGGAAGAGAAGGAAGCGCTGTCCTGTTCTCAGATTGGGGACAGCCTCCCACCTCCTTCTTCCCAACCTGTGGAAGGACCAGACTCAAATTCCTCACCTCTTGACCCCTCAGCAAATGTCCAAGCTACAACCCCAGGGTGAAGAGCAAACCTCAACCCCACAAATCATGTGCCCTTAACTGAGTATTACAGTCAGAGGCTGCTATCTAAAGAAGTATCTCCCATTTCTAGGAAGGCCACTTCAACTTCATCTAGCACTCAGTCGCTTTCTTCACTGTCTTCCCAGGGCTCCCGGGCAAGCTCTATGGGCTTGCTGACATCCCTGAGGTCCATAGACTATGCTGCCAACCACAGAGCAGACGATTTCCGCAAGCTGAACAAGGAGAGGGAATTCCACTACTCTGTCATCCAGTTCAAGCTGAATCACATGGTTTCCATGCTGCCTAGGAGGGGCAATGTGGCAGAAAACCACATAGGCTGCCGCCTACTGAGGTGCAACTTAAAGCCTAGGCAGCGGATCAGCAAGAGCCTCATAAACTTCAGAGACTTTGCACTGTATTCATCATATGACTGCTTCTGAGAAATGGGATCGTGAGAGCTGGCACACATAATTGCCATACAGGGGGTGCTGCTGGCTTGGTGGTGGTGGTTTTTTTAACTTGGCTGCCCAGCCATTTTTGTGATACTGCAAGCCTTTCTCAGGCTTTGCCGTGCCATGGAGAAGAATATGCACATTATACCTTGTGGCACAAAGTTAGCCATCGCATGGAAACACCTTCATGTTGCTCTTTGTGGCTTACATTTTGTGTGCGTCACTTGTAAGTGCTCCAGCCTTCACACTTGGCCAATTCTGTACGGCCCTTACAAATGTTGCTTTTTTGGTCTAAGAAATCATGGGCTAACTTGGTTTCATCAAGGGACAATAA